CCACAAAACCGTTACTAGCGAGGTGTACCTAATAAAGTGGCCGGTGAGTGTATATACATATATCAAGGCTGCACAAAACTTTTCCCCAAAATGAAAATCTATCTGAGGGCTGCGGCCAAATGTAATAATGTAATTCATGAAATACAAATACTTCTTAAGTAAAGTCCTTTTTAATGATTATGTCCTGCTGCATGATTTGTTTGTGTACAAACTAATACAGTATCAGAGTTTTATATATTTATACTTATCATTCAACCACAACTAAATTCACTCAGTTTATATGGATAGTATTTATTTTTTACAAGCTGGAATGAAAACAAGCAGAAATGAAATAAAAGTAACGACTTTCTCTTGTCTTTTTAAAAAATATATAAGAAGTAAAAAGTACAGATAATTGTGTGAAAATGTAAGAAATAGAAGTAAAACATAGGCTGAAAAATAACTACTCAAGTAATGTACAGATACCCAAAATTTCTACTTAAGTACAGTAACAAAGTATTTGTACTTAGTTACTTTACAACTCTGTCTGCTACCACATCAAATTTTAGATCAATAGCTGTAAAATAAACAGAGTTTTACGTTCACTTAGCAGTGGTGGATATTGTAGGGTTAGTTTGTGCACGATTGGTTTAAATCCATCCAGTGAGGAGATATTTTGCTAACTTGCGAACGAACACACACACACTGAAGGACATGGGCAACAACACTGTGTGGCTTGAGGCTACATTGATATCGTGGCTAACACACTAACACAAACTGATAGCTCCTTGTATTGGTACCATTCATTTATATGAAGCATTAACCAAACTAGCCTTTTTAAATTGTGATTATGAATATAAATAAGATTCATCTCCATGATGTTTTTGGTCAAAACAGAGTCTCTGCAGAGGTTCTCAAACTGGGGTCCTCAAAACTTTTCAATTAATTGCTCATTTGATTTTTATTTACAAAAAAATGCATATGGGGAACAATACACTAGTAAAACAAACATACTAAACCAAACAAAAGATAAAATTCCTGTGGCATTTAGGCAGTAAAATGACAACCATGGGGTTGGAAATTGTTCACCCTTGTAAGGGGTCCCCAGACCCGAGAACCCCCAATCCACCTTAACATCAGGGACTGGGATCATTTCAACGTTTTTCATTTTAAAAAGGATTTACAACAGAAAATACTGCACCTGGTGGGAACTGTGATAACGTTGTGGATAAATAATGTAGCAAATCATCACTTCACACAGCTAACTAATCACTGCATCACTTTTATTTCAGCCTGAATCCAATTCACATCCTCTGCGCCGTTATTATTGTGACGATAACAATAATTCATTTATAGTTAACACATCCATGTTTTTAACCCTGATAAAAGATTCATTTCCACTAAACTTCCTGCCCTTTTCTTAACAACTGTCTGTGCCTCTAAACTCTTTTCTGTCTTGTTGTTTTTTCCATGACGACACTGAGATAAATCATTTTGATCTGATCTTTCCTTCGTTCTGATGAGGATTTTATCAAACAGCCTTTCATAGTTCTAACATTCTTCTTTGTGTTTTGATACACTTAAAACTGCCCAGAGTGTCTTTATTTCTTTATTATTTCAGCTGTCCTGACTGTCTGACACCCCCCCCACACACACACACACACACACACACACACACACACACACACACACACACACACACACACAC